AATATATATCAATATTTTTTATTTAGCATTAATTAATATCAATAATTTAAAATATATTATTGGCTCAACCTTGCTCAAAAAATGACGACATGTTACTGGCGTTGTCTCTGTGGTGGGCTAGAGCTTTGCCCTAGCCGCTCTCTGCCGGCGGTGCTTGGCTTCTTCCTCCGCGTGCCGAGGGAAGCTCTTTTCCCCTTTTGTTTCTTTTGTTCTTTTGCTAGAATAACAATTTGTTGTTTAGCTGATCCTGGTTTTCTGGATGGATCGGCTAGGTCCCGCTCGTTTTGGAAGCTTTAGCGGGATCATCTCCTGGTAGATTTCTTGATCTTATACGGTATTCTTTTCGTGGCGTTTCTGCTCTTTTTGTTTTGAAAGATGAGTTTTTTGCTATTGCTGAACCATTTAAGTTTTTGCTTGTTGGCTTCTTCCCTTTGAGTCCCCATTTTTTCTCTCCTCGTGTCTTGCATGGATTGGGGCTTCTCTTTAGTAACTCGCTGAAGGTGGATAATGCCGCTACATTGGGGTCTCGCCCGTGTGCTGATGGAAATTGATATTACGCATAAATTTTTGGACAAGATTTGGATAGGGCCAAAGAAGCTAGGTTATTTTTCAGCAAGTTACTATGGATGATTTTCCTCTCTTTTGCCCCAAATATAAACGTCTTGGTTATTCTTTTGGTGACCACCGACCTACTCTTGATGCTAGCTTGCCTGCTGCTCCTTCTTTATCTAAACCGAATTTTATGGGTTTATGATGATATTGACATTCCTGTTGGCGATGGGGATGTTGGGGATTTAGGGGATACGACTCTTATCCTTCCTAATCTTTCTGTTGTTGATCTGTTTCCTATGTTTTACCGCCTGTGTCTCGGGACATTTATGTGGTTCTGCCTCCCATAGGTTTGCCCGTTATTGGTGATGTTGGGGTTGAGTTAATTCCGTCTTGCCAATTTCAGTCTTTGGTTGTCCCTGTTTCGGTTGCTACGATTTTGTTCGACTGGCTCTCCTGTTGTTTTGGTGGAGCCGGTTGATGTGCTAAATTCTGTTCTCCATGCTTTTAATGCATGTACTGTCGGTGTGCCTTCTGTCAGGCAAGTATCTTGCCCTGATCTCTCCGTTGCAGCCCATTGCGCTTGCTGATGCTATTCATTCTAATTTTTCTCCCATTGTTAATGGGATTTGAGGTTCATGGTGCGATGGATGGAATTGATTCTTCTAATGTGGCTCCTGCCATTGTGACTGTATCTGATATTAATTATTGTATTAATCTTAGTGATAGTCCGATTGTTGGTGATGGTGCGAAATTTTCTGTTGATAATTCTATTTCTTTTGTTGATAGTGGTGACGAAGCAATTGGCTGCGGGATGGGGGGGGGGGGGGGGGGGGGGTATTGTGATGCTTCTAGTGTATGTTTGGTGGCAATGTGATTGGTTACATAATGACATGACTATTGATAATGTGGATGACTTTATTGATAACACCCTGGATACAGGCTCTCTCGAAAAATTTGTTAGACAACTTAAATGGAATTCTAAGAAGAAATGATTTTCTTCTTTTGGAAGTTATGGGATGTGCTATTTGGTCTTTTTATTTATTTATGTTGCTTTCGTTGCGATGCTGGATTCAATTCGGAATGGACGATGAGGAAATAGCTTTGATGCATGCGCCTTGGATGGCCAGGGTTGTTTTGCAACCTGGGTTAGCTCGATGCGGCTTTTCGGTTCGGATGTGTTGTCTGTCCTCCATGGATGGCCCCTCCTTGACAACTTGGCGTCGGTCTGAATCCGATCTTATTCTAATTTTGTCTTTCCTACTCTCACTTTGCTTTGCTACTAGTGTTTTTTATTTTATCTTTAATTATAACTCTATTGATGTGGCCTTTCTTGAAGTCTTGTGATGTATCTTTATATCTTATTGAAATTTTTTGTTTTGGTTAAAAAAATAATTTTAATTTAAAAATATAAAAAAATAAATATGAAATGCTTGCCTTTCTTACTAAGATTTGTGTATCCTAGTCCACAAAGAAGCAAGAAAGTTGGCATGTGGGGTTGCGAAAAAGACATCTATGTGACCAATAGAGAAGTGTAAAGAAGAACATTTCCTAAGTGACTTATGAATTCAAGTTAAATACACAACTCATCCTGGTCTGTTGGTTGGGAGCTTTGTCTACCAACTAAAAGGTCTTGGATTCGAGTCTTGTGTATGCGATGTGTGTGAGTCTGCCTTAATTAGAATAAATGTCCAAGAAATAATAATTTCAAGTTAAATACATTTAATATCAAGATTTACTAAATCTGGGATTTAAGGAACAACAATGGAGAAATGTGATTTAAAATTATGTAGAATTTAAAATTATAATTTTTGCTGGTTGAGGTTTTAGGGCATATCCAACTGAAAATCTCATTTCTCACTTCAAAATGGGGTGAAACTAAAAAATGCCGTGATTCATCTCCAATTGAACTCCATTTTGCGTGCTTCTACGAAGGTAACTGTCTTTTCTCATCTTTCACACGTTTTTTTGGCAAATCTTGTTGGGAAAGAAAAATCGCGTGAGTGAACAGTGCCACGTCAATATTGACATCACACTGTTCACATCCAAGCAAATAGTGGAATATTTAGCATTCGGCTGGAGAGACCGAATGATGCCACACACATGTTTAACGTTCAGTTGGAGATGCCCTTAGGTTAAATTATGCATAAATGCTGCTCAAATTTAGTTGCCAAACAGTCTTAATTTGAAAGATTTCTAGGAATGATTTGCAATTCTATCTAGGAGTGTTCAAAGTTTTGGATCACAAATTTTAGAGATCATATATAATATAATCAACCCTTTCTTCAATAGTTCTCGTCAGAATTTGGGTTTGAGTCGGGCCGGAATTGGGTTCAAAATGGTTGGAATTGCCGGTTCTGGAGTTGAAATTCCGTGGCTAGATCCATGACCCAAGAGATGAGGTTTCGCGGTCTATTTTACCCCGCTCGATTGGCGCTCTTTCCCTGGTTCTGCATTCTCTGTCCCAGGCCAGACTGATATGCTGTCACACGCCTCGCCTGCTTGCTACTCTTCTCTCTCTGTTTCGCGTCTCTTCCTCCCTCCCACCCCTTTCCGCAGCAACTGCTCCCGGGCCCTAGTGGACCGCCGCAACGGCCAAAGATCGGTTCTCGCGAAGCCTCGTCTCTTCGTCGCTCTCTTCTCACTCCGCCCCTCTTCGCCAGCGAGGAAGAAGAGGTTCTCTGAGTCTGACCCAGAAGACGAGGATGAGTTGGACGAGGATGAAGAAGACGATGAAGATGTCGCCGCGGAGGAGTATGTTGACGGGGTTTTAGCGTCTGGGGATGTTTCTGAAGATGAGGGTGAGTATGCAGTGAGCGAAGGAGAGGAGGTGGAGGTGCAGCCCTCGGCTGTGTCCTCGCCTCAGTACAAGGATCATAAGTGGCAGAGGGTGGAGAGGCTTATCGCAGAGGTTCGGGAGTTTGGGGAGGAGATTATTGATTTTGAGGAGCTTGCAGGCATCTATGATTTCCCCATTGATAAATTCCAGGTTTGTGCGCTTATTAAAACAAATTTTGGCTGACTTTACTTATGTATGAATTGATTTAAATGAATCTATATAAAGCTGTGACGTACTTTTAATCTATTTGTTGATTCATGCGAGCATGATATACCTGATCCTGGAACATTGTATAGTGATTTGCAAATCTGGGAACTCGATAGTTAATGTGCTACTTGCGACATTGTCTTGTGAGTTTCAAATCAGGGAACTTCAGAGTTAAATTTAAACATCTAAAGCTCATGAATAGTGCATCATGGTGTATATCTTATTATTCTTGACGTTGTCATGGTCTTTTAAAGATTTGTTGGATAAAACTTCTTGAAAACCATCCTTGCTTACTAAGAGGGTCCTTAAAATTTTAAGAAGATTATTATTGTTGAATTTGTCTGTTGACTACACCCAATTTTAC